CTAGAAGCGAGGAGAGGAATGGTCACCCTGAGAACTAGGGCTCCCTGTGACAAAAGCCTCTGCAAACGTGTGGGAGGTGGCAGGGACTCCTGTCATCCCCATTCTCCTCTTTTTACCCACATTCTGGGCATGACCACCCCTGCTGGCTGCCACCGCCAAGTTTCCCACTCATGCCTCTGTTTAGTGGTCCACGGACAGTCCAAGAACCCAACTACCCATCTAGACACGAGTGGACTCTGACTGGATGCCAAATGCCAGGTACTGTGGATAAGATGCTACTGGCTCATGCAGAACAGGGTGGGCCAATATGAAAATTATTAGCGCTCCGTGTTGTCAGTGTTTCCGTGGGGTGACCCTAGAGGTTCCTGATGTGACGGGGAGTCAGAGCAGGCTTTGTGGCGGTGGTGGCACCTGTGATGCCTTTCTGAGAGGGGTACAGAGGCATTGCCAGCAGAGAAGGGGAGACACACATGCCAGGCAGGAGAGGAGCACCAGCCCCGGAAGTGCAGGTCATTTGAGTTGGGACAAGCACCCTGGTGGCTGGTCCCAGGAGCCAAGGCTCTGGAGAGGCAAAGACAAAGTCCCTGGACGGTGATGTGAGGGGCGTCTCCAGCCCCGATACCTGCTTCCCAGCCTGCATGGCTTTCCCAGGGCTTTGGGCTGCCCTCACCATGCTTGCCTCTCCTAGGCTTCTCGGTGCCAGCCCCGACACTTCAGCTTCAGATGCCCATTTGTGCTCTTCCCTCCTGGCTCCCACCTGGCTGTGCGCTGTCAGCAGCACCCCTGAGCCTTGTGGAAGCCAACAGGGCAGGCCAGTGTAGTCTGGGAGAGGAACAGGGACTTGGAGGGAAAACAGATCACAGGCATCCGAGGGACAGGGGACAGAGAAGGTGGAGAGAGTAGAAAGAGTGACAGAGAAAAGGGCCACTAAGAAGAGCGTCTCTCTTCTAGAGTCCACACCTGGCCACCACAGGGCGGCAGCCGATGTGCATTGGGATCACAGTACTTGGAGAAGCCACCTATGGGTGCCTTCTGAGATGCCAGGCTCCTGAAGTAGGGGAAGGCATGTGGGCAGGAGGAGACAGCTGTCATGGGCCCTCAGGAGGACAACATAGAACCTGGAGACTTTTGTACACCTTTCATGACCTTGAGTCTGGACCCCTGAGGAAGGGAGGATACATGGATAGGGCTCGGGAAACCCAAGGGGCGTGGGGAGAGCTGGGCAAAGCTGCCCTTCACAGTAAGAGTTCTCAGCAATGCCTTTCCACCTCTTTCTTTCAGCACTGGGGCTGAAAGAAAGTGACAGGAAAAGTTCCTAGTCTCTGTAGGTGGGGGTTTAGCCTGCCTGTCACCCGTGGAGTCTGAGGCAGAGAGGATAAAAGATGTTCCTGGCCGCCCTTCCTCTTTTCTCCTATGTTGTTATAGAAAAGTACACACAGCTTGCCCATCCAAGCTCTCTCTACTCCTCCCTCAAGCCCAGATGCACCTTATCACTCCATGGCTGAGGAAATGGGGAAGACAGAGTGGGGTGCTGTGAGGGGTACAGGCTAGGGGAGCACATTTGGTGGTCCCATCTGCTGTAGGTTTTGTCTGGAGCTCTGTCTGTCTCTGTCTAAACAGGACTTTCCAGACTCTGGGTGTCAGGCTCAGGACCAGGAGTCGCGGAAGGGGCATAGGCTCTCCAGAGCACATTCCTCAGCCCCAGGACGCGTCACCCTGTTTGGGCAGATGGTTCTGAATGGGATCCAGAGTAATGGGGTCTGCGATGTCTGCATCTGCTCTCAGGAATGGTCTAAAGACATGGAGAAAGCTGGTGGCAAGCCTGGCATCTGAGGCAAACCCAGACTCTTGTGCTCATTGGGATTGACTGGATGGGCACCAGTGCAAATTAGAAAAACCCACTCAGACCAAGGTAGTGTGCTTCAATAAGAGCTGTGCAGGATGGACAGTGTGGTCCTGGTATGTAGGATACAAGCTTTGGGGCTGTCTGTAGTGGCCCTGACCTTGGGGTTGGGTTTTCATTTCCTTGCTGGTGGCAATGGTGGCATCACCCATGCTGCCTACCCTGACTGGTTAGAGAAGACTAGGTTGCCCACAGCTCTGACCTGCTTCCTCCCAGAGTGCAGCCAAGGGTAGGCTTGAAGTAAGTAATACTTATCAGACAGTATCAGGCATCAACAACCTAGATTAGAAGAGCTCCTGGAACTGCCTAGCCCATTGGACAGTGTGACTTCACTATGACTCACTCTAGAGACTGTCCCACCACTGCATAGTCTTCAGAGGCCCCGTGCTCCTCTCTAATGTGTCTGCCCTTTGGTTAACTTGAAGTTGTTCTGCAATCAATCCTCTTACTCAGATATACTACTGAGGGCAGTCTTTGTCCTGCTACATGGGACCTAGAGGTAGGGACTACTGGTCAACCCAGGCCTTTTGAATGCATATCAGCATACCCCCTAAGACATCAGGTGATGGAGTGCCTGTCCCTGAATAGCAGGATTGGGCTTCTGCTGCCTGCTTTCCTGTGAGCTGTGAGTCACTCATAGACACCAGTCCTGAAGAGGTGACCATTTTATACTGTTCCTCTGGGGGAATCACTGTTATTGCAGTCCCTGGAAACAGGTGGGGAAGAGGGAGAAGACATGAAACCATGTCGCATCTCTGGACTCCATGTCAGGTGAAACTAGTACATGCCAGTACTGGGATTGTTCAGAGGATCTAATAGGTCATGAGACACATTGGATTTTCTGTAGAAGAGTTACATTTGCAGTGTGTGGAATGCCCAATGGAGCAAGATGTGTTACTCCAGCATGAGACAGTGTCCCATGAAGCAAGGGTTGGTGGAACCTGTTGCTCTGAGGGGACTGTGGTGGCTATAGGTGACAGAAAGCAGTTCTTACCACAAGAGGGTTGCAGGTGTATGACTCACCTGGGTGGGGGAGGCCCTGAGTCACAGCTTCCCATGACAGTTCCCAGGAGACGGGTGAGTCTCAGAGGATCTTCCAGCTCTGAGCATGGGGCTGATTGGTGGTAGAAGGTTGCTGGGTCTGTGACAGGAGGCTGTGAGCCCTAATAAATGTCTTACTCATTTCACTTTGCTGAGCCCTGCAGATTCTCAGGCCCTCTGCATGCACCAGAAAAGCTCTGTTTGCAGCCCTGCACGTTTCTCACACCATCTGTCTAGCCTTCAAGCGTTTGCCCTCACCAATTCCACTGGCAGTGCCCACTTGTCCTCCATTCCCCAGCTCAGACTGACTCTACTATGCCAACCCCTGAAGATGTCCATAGCATCACCTGCATGACATCTGCCTGACTCAGCCTTGCCTGCTTGGCCGTCTGCTCTGGACTCGGTTGCTTCTGATTCCTTCCACTGCTCCTTTGCTCTGGGGAGGCCTTCATTTGACTCATGGCCGTCTCAATTGTTTCTGCTGCAGATGTCAGTCCTGTCTCACCAGAGTAACCGTGTGCTTCTTGGGATAGGAACGGCTTCTTGGAGTTCCCTGTCTCTTATACAGTGCCTAGTAGGGTTGGGTATATGCTCCGGAAATAACCCTGGGCTATAGGAGGAGTGTGAGACAAGACAAAACAGTAGCTAGGTCAGCCCCATGCTGGCCAAAGTGGTTTAATCTTATATCCGGAAGGCAACACAGCTGCTATCTCAGGTCAGGTTACTCAATCTGGAAAGATTTTGCCTCCAGAGGCCAGTCCTGGAGACATTACTCTGTTATCACATCCAGGACAGAAAGTACTGTGGGCTTCCAGAAGACAGAACCAGGGTCCAGCTGACCATCTTTGAGACATGGGACAGTTGCCACTGCACAAAACTACCCAGCAGACGTGCCAATGATTCAGAGGTTGGGAAAGCCTGAGATACACTCCCCTTCAGGTCCTCAGGCTGATGCTGAGACTTGATTTGCATATGTGTCCCTAGGTACTCTGGGATGCCCAGAAGAAGACAGGAGAAAGTTACTCAGTTGCCAAGAGGCCAGAGATGGAACCCAGAAACACAAGCATGAGAGGGATTGGGTCTGCCTGTCTGGGAGGACACATCTATCCATGAATCTACTCAGCTTGACCTAAGCAAGGGTCAGGAGGCTGGAGTGATGCCGTAGTGTTGTGTAACTACCGCTTTCAAACTGAAGCATCCTCTCAAGGCACAAAGAAGCTACAAGATGCATAGGCCTCTGCCCAAGGTTACATAAGCAGGAAATGACTGCTGGAGGGGGGGGGTGTTTGAGTGGTGTTGACTGCAAGTCGTCCAAAGAGCACCAGGGACTCTGCCTCTGTGCTGGAGTGGGCTTTTCACTAAGAAAGCTGCTTTTGGTCACCCAGGTTCCTGTAAGGGACACCAATAAACCCAGGGGCTCACCAAGCTGGACTTGAGTGAAATGCTACATGTTGGTGCCCCATGTAGGTGACCAGGTGTTGGCATCTCCCGTGAAAAGCCGTTTAATCCCTGGGGAAACTCTGCTCTCTGAAGCAGCAGGTCCCTCTGTTTGTTCTTGGGGACCCAGCAAGAGGTGTATTGCCATAGGGTTGGCATAGCAGTGGCATTTGCCTGAGTTCTGGGGAATCCAAACTCTAATCCCCACGCTCACACAGCAAGGCCTTTATTTCTTGGGATGATCTCCCTGGCCCCCTTAATAGTTCATTAATGGAATAGTTTTAACTAGAAGCAGAGTGGGACACTTTATAGAGTGACAGATCTGCAAGGAATCTGGGGTTGCACCGTGTCCTCTGAAATAAACCAGTGAGCGTTATGATGGGAGGCTCTGCAGGAAACATGCACAAGTGTCTCCCTGGGCCATGAGGGCGACTAAGTAGAAACAGTCTTTGCTGGACTCACTCGCCACTGGTGCAAGCTGAGTGCCGGGTAATTTCTAGGTCAGATTCGCTGGGGCAAATGGCACAGGGCAGCAGTTCAGCATCTATGTTGCTGTCTTTGTGGTCGGTTTTAAGGACTTTATAAAATTAGCATTTCAGGCTTTCTCTGTTGCTTGAAC